CACTTGGTAGCCCAGGCTGGCCTCGAACTCACAGAGATCCGCCTGGCTCTGCCTCCCGAGTGCTGGGATTAAAGGCGTGCGCCACCAACGCCCGGCTCCATCTTTTGGTTTTATTGATTTTTTTCTTTTAAAACATTTTTAAATGATTTCTGTTTTTATAGTGCTATTTTTCTATTTTGTTCATCATTTCTTAATCTCTTTTCCTAATTTTTTTTCCTTTTTTTTTTTTGGTGTTTTTGAGACAGGGTTTCTCTGTGTAGCTTTGCGCCTTTCCTGGAACTCACTCTATAGCCCAGGCTGGCCTTGAACTCACAGAGATCCACCTGGCTCTGCCTCCTGAGTGCTGGGATTAAAGGCATGCGCCACCACCGCCTGGCCCTTGTAATGTTAAAGTGAACGTTTTAAGTCAGACTTTTTTAGCAGTGTGTGCATGGGCTCTCTCTTTCCCCCTTTCCCTGGGTTCTGAGGCTCAAACTCAGGTCACCTGGCATATGCTGTGAGTGTCTTCCCCTGCTGAGCCCAGGGATTTTTCTGTACCTGGACAGAGCCCTATGTATTGAGGCTTAATGGTCCAGATGGTGTCTGCCACAACTGCTCAATTCTGCCATGGTAACAAGAAAGCCACGGACTTGCACGTAAACAGCTGGACACTGTTGGGAGGTTTTCTCCACAAAAAACAGGCAGTGGCCACAGTGTGACTCCTGGCTAGATCATCATGGTTTGTTTGTTTGTTTCCCTAAATGTTTAATGCAACAGGTTTTCCTTTAAAGGCTGTTTTATTTGTATCCATTACTTTGTGTTTTTGAACAGTCTCTGTAGTCCAGACCTTGAGCTGTTCCACTCATCTACCGCATAGCCGGTATCAGTAGTCAGTTTCTTTATTTTAATTGCTGAATAGTATTCCATTATGTGGGTATGTCAAATCCGGTCTGCTGCTGATACACATTGCTACTAATACACATTGAGGCTATGATGAATCATAAAACTGAACATTTTACGACCAGCATTTGTGTAGACATGTGTTTTCATTTTTCCTGTGGAAATGTCCAGGAGTAGAATGGCTGGACTGTAGACTGCTGTTTTCTAAAGTTAGTGTACCATTTTACATTCCCATCGGTGTTGGGTTACACTTCAGTCTCTCTACATCCCCCGGTGTCTCTCCTACTCTTACTCTTAATAGGAATGAAGCGCTAGTGGTTATGATTCATAGTTCCCAGTGACCAATGTGTTGATCATATTTCATGGCAATCTGAAGTTAACAAGGCATTGGCCATTTCTGTCTTACACAAAGCATGTTTTTTTTAATTGGATTATTTGTCTTCTCTTTGTGTTGTGGGAGTTCTGTGTACCTCAGGCTGGCCAGGAACTCTGTGTAGCCTTAGGATAACCTTGAACTTCTCATTCTCATGCTTCTCCCTTCTACGCACTAGGATTATGGGGTGATTATAGGATGCACCCCATGCTCAGGGTTATATGGCGCTGGGACTGAAAGCACTACCACATGTGTTGGACAAAGCTTAGCCTCAGCCTTTTAAAAATATCTCATGTTAGTTGTTAATTTCTGAAAGTTGCCTAAAAACAAAAGGTTTTTTTTTTTTTTTTTTTTTTAGGAAACTTAAGAAAGTGCTTCTTAACTGAACTTCTCAATTTAAAATCCATCAACAGTAGCCACAGTAATCTGGGCATTGACAACAGGAGCCTGTCTGTGCTCTCTAAACTCATAGCTCTGAAGTGTAGATCTGATTTAGGAAGATGTCATGTTACAAATTACTGGGGAGTGGGGGAGAGAAGGAAGGAGAAGCTGTGGTCAGAATAAATAAAAGAAAAAAAATACTGTGACTCAAATTATCCCTTTTTAAAGAATGTTTGTAAAATGGGCCGTTTTCTATTTTAGACGATTGTGGAAAAATGTAACAGATTCTCTGAGGGAATCTGAAATTGACAAGGCCACGGAGCACAAGCGTACCTTGGAAGAACGCCAGAGAACTGAAGAAAGACATCGCACTGAAACAGGCAGACCCTGGGAAACCAAATACTTTATCAAAGAGGTACGTGCTGCACGCGCTCAGAAAGAACTCTGGCTTACCTGAGTCGCTAGCTCTTGTCCTCATTTTAAAAGAAGTCCAGCTAGGGGCTGGGGAGACGGCCGGTCAGTGAGGCACAAGGCAGGGTGAGAAATGGGTGAAGTGACAGGGCTTAAGTTGGGTAGGTTCACATAAACTGGTCCTGGGGACTCATTGTTAACCCAGGGCCCAGCGTCAAAGACAAGGCTTACTCAAGACAGCTCCCAGGAACCTGACTGGTTGTTACATTAGGAATGAAGTGAAGGAGACGTGGGGAATACAGACAGAGTTCAAGCCTGATTGCCGCATGCTCTGAACATGGGCCTGCAGTCCTCATTAGCCTGACCTGGACTGCCACACTCTGCTCTGTCTGCTGCAGTCTGCTTTCCTGCCTTATTACCACAGCTCTTTCCTCCCTCTGCTCCTTGGTCTTTTCTCCATGAGCATGTCCTTGTGCTCTGCCTGCTCCCTCTAATTCTGTGCGGCGTGGGCTGCAGCATCTTGGCACATGGCAGAATTGCTGCAGGTGACCTCTGCAGCGTTACATGCTCCAGAGTCATGAACGGTGTTTCCACACAGCACGGTTGCATTCCCTGACTCTCTGACAGAATCGCTGACACTGAGGTGGGGTGGAGGGCAGGAGTGCTGTATTCTGGCTCACGATTCAGGGCAGTAGTCTGTTTTGGTGGCAGGCAGGGACAAGCTGAGAGCTGGAGAAGGGTGGTTGTGTCACCTTGGCAGTCAGGTCAGTAGGAAGCAGAGCTGGGCACCCCCCAAAGACCCCAACTCCCCCAGCAGCCCACTGCCTCCAGTGAGGCCTCACTTCTGAAAGGTCCCACGGCCTCCTAATCACACCGTCAGCCTGTAAGGGACAATCCACATTCAGACCGTAGCATCCCCCTAAGCTGCAGGCATGGTCTGAGGTCTCGAGCACAGAGGCCCTGGAGAGCTCCATTTTGCTGTTGTTCCTGGCTGGATTTCTGATTGGAGATGCTGGAGGGTGCTGCTTTAATCCCTTTTCCTTGTTTCAGGGAGACGGCTGGGTTTATCACAAACCCCTCTGGAAAGTAATTCCATCACAACCAGCAGAGTGACACATGCTTTCTAAGACTGGACCAAATGAGGTTCTCCTCTGTGTACCCCAAGCCCTCTCAGACAGAGTTGTTGCACTGAGTGACCTGCCTCCTAATTTGTACAGCCTGAAACTAGCTGAACACGAATGTACTACTCGGGCCCATCATCCTGCAGCAAGACCAAAGTGTTAAGGACCCGCGATGGGCTTCTCGGCAGCCTGTTCACCAACACGAGCAATACCATCTTCAGCCTTCCACCCACCAGAACATGTCATCTTGTATCCGGTAACAGCAGGGAGAACCCAGTGACTTTGGTTCCAGTGTAGGGAAGAGGAAAGTCTCTTGCAGAGGTTTCTGCTTTCTGTCGTTACTGAAGTAGTCACTGCTCTTCTAAACCCAGCAAGAGGGAGACAGACGTGACCGACCAGTGGATTCAGCCATTGTGCCTGAAGTCAGTGTTCACAATCACAAGGCCTCTTTTCCTCCCGAGGCTGTGCCTGCCCCCGAGGAAGCCCATCACTTGCTCTGTTGGAACTCTCTTTTAAAAGTGTATTTATAATTAGAATTGTAACCATGGAGGAATTTTTTCTTCTGAGCATTTTAATATACTTGAAAACAACATTGACTTGAAAAATTTCAGAACATTTTTCAATACCTAGTTTTATTAAATATTACACTTAAGAGACATTTTTTTAAATGTGTTCATGTCAATATGGGATTTTGGCCTTTCTCAAGAACTAAGGCATTAAAAAATAGCAAATATTAAAAAAGAAAACTGTTACTTTTTCCTTAGCCTATTTTCATTTATAGGTTCATATTCAGTATTATGTGCTATCTGAGCAAGTTTGCTTATCTGACCTCTGTTCACTCAAAAGTTCAAACTGAAACCTGTTCATATCTGTCAGTAATTCAATTATGTCTGTGACTGAGTGCACGTAAAGTATGGTTTTATTTTACTTTCAAGGGAATTTCAATGCTAAAGAAAGGGTGTGAAATAAAAAGCAGGAATTTACATTCAGGTACAAATTGGTTTTTGTAATCGGTGTTTTATTGGAGTTGAATTGCTGGCAATGAGCAGAATAGTGCTAATTATGGTTTTCATTTCTTTGAGTATTTGCTGAGCACCCACTCAGGTGCTGACCCTTGTTACTGCGAGCTACCTTCACTGTCCAGAGTGGTGCCTTACCCTGCTCCTGCCCATGGTCTTCCAGTCGGCGTGCGCAGCACGCACCTGTCACTCATCGGCTGTGCTCTGAGAAACTCTTTCTTAGAAGGGTTAAAGGGATGAAAACAGCGACAATGATTTTTCAGCAAATTGTAAATTAAAAGAATTGGTTTGTGTACAACCATTTCGATGACTCCCTTTTCATTTTTGCTGTGAAGTGCACTGAAAAAAAAATCTCAAAATGAGCTATAGTTCATGTGTTGGGAAAATTGAAAAATAAAAAAATAGAGAACAGCAGTGTTATTGTCTGCTTTATGAGGGGAGAGAAATAGAAAGTTGGTATTTGTGACATGTGCTACCCACCCACCCAGAAGCCATCTCTAACTGATAGCCTCCTGCAAATAAAAAATTAGTTCTTTCCAGGGGAATCTCACCACGGAAACAAACCGCTCTTAAGGGCAGGCCCCATGGCCAGATGGCCAGCACAAATGAGCTCAATGGCATCTTTGGCTTTGTTTTTATGGGATGCCTAAATGTGCAGACGTGTGTTGTGTCTGTCTCTGTATGTTTCTTGTGTTTTTTTCTTTGGCTCTTTTTCTTGTTTTGTTCTATTCCAATTTGTTTTTGTTTTATTGTATTATTTTTGTTTGATCTTTGAAACAGGATTTCTCTGTGTAACCCTGGCTGTCCTGAAACTAGCTCTGTAGACCAGGCTGGCCTCAGACTCGCTTCTGCCTTCCGAGTGGTGGGATTAAAGGCGTGTGCTGCCACCACATGGCTTATTGTATTTTTATTTTATTTATTTATTTAAAGATTTATTTATTTACTATGTATACAGCATTCTGCCTGCACACCAGGAGAGGGCATCAGATCATTTTAGATGGTTGTGAGCCACCATGTGGGAATTGAACTCAAGACCTCTGGAAGAACAGCCAGTGCTCTTAACCTCTGAGCCATCTCTCCAGCCCTGTATTGTATTTTATTGTTACTCCTTAGATGCCTGTTTGTTTTCTAATGAGAGGGTGTGGGAGGAATAAGGGGAGGGAAACTATACTAGATGAAAAAAGATATTCAATCAAAGAACAAATTGTCTTAGAAAGGGTGTGTGCTCTTAACTGCTGAGCCATCTCTCCAGCCCCCAAGGGCCACAGTTTTTAACTATTAATGTGTCCGGCAGTGGTGATGAAAACCTTTAATCCCAGCACTCAGGAGGCAGAGGCAGGTGGATCTTTGAGTTCTAGGCCAGCCTGGTCTACAGAGTGAGTTCCAGGACAGCTAGAGCTGTTACACAAAGAAACCCTGTCTCAGGAAAAAATAAAACAAAGAATTTTAACTATTAATGTACAGAAGCAAAAATGCCTGGAGCATACTTTGGAAGCCAATTTAATAAACTCCCTTTTTATGTATGACACTTTGCATTTATCAATTCTGTCCCTGTCTTAGGGTTTTTAATAGTGTGAAGAGACCCCATGACCAGGGTAGCTCTTATAAAGGAAATATTTAATTGGGGTGGCTTACTAACAGTTTCCCAGGTTTAGTCTATTATCATAATGGATAGCATGGTGGCATGCACACAGATGTGCTGGCTACATCTTGACCAGAAGGCAGCAGGAAGTCGACAGAAAGTCACACTTGGAGCTTGATCAAAAAAAAAAAAAAAAAACCTTAAAACCTACCCACAGTGACACACTTCCTCCAGCAAAGCCACACCTCTTAACAGTGCCACTCCCTGCAGGGTGGTGGCGCACACCTTTAATCCCAGTACTTGGGAGGCAGAGCCAGGCGGATCTTTGAGTTCGAGGCCAGTCTGGGCTACCAAGTGAGCTCCAGGAAAGGCGCAAAGCTACACAGAGAAACCCTGTCTCGAAAAACCAAAAACAAAAAAACAAACAAACAAAAAAATAGTGCCACTCCCTATGAGGTATGGGGACCAATTACATTCTAACTACTACGTTGTCCCTTCAGAGAGCTCTAACATGGCAGCTCGATAAAATAATAATACAATTCACTTGGGTATGGGCATCTGCTACAATCCCAGTACTTACGAAACTGAAGTAGGAGCATCTTGAGTTTAAGGCCAATCTGGACTCATAGCCTGACAACCTCGATTTTATGCCTGCTACCTACATGGTGGAAGGAGAGAAATCGCTCCTGCAAGTTGTCCTCTGACCTCTGGGCACCAGTGCCAGAAGCTGGGAACCTCACTCGAGAGGGACCGGAGATGCAGCGCCAGGCCCACCCTGATGGTCTAGAAGTTCCTGGAGAGCTGATGGAGTGAGTCCACATTGGAGGGTCAATGGAGCCTGATATGTCTGGACCCTGGCACCAGCCAAACTGCACCAGCTGAAGATGGATGAAGCTGTCTTAGTCACTGTTCTGTTGCTGTGAAGAGACGCCATGACCAAGGCAACTCCTATAAAGGAAAGCATTTAATTGGGGCTGGCTTTCAGTTTCAAAGGTTTAGTCCATGATCGTCATGGTGCATGGAGGCGTACTTGCAGGCACTGGAACTGTATCCTCATCCATAGGTGCAGAGAGAGGGCCTGGGGTGGGCTTTTGAAACCTCAGCTCCCCCCAGTGACACTTCCTCCAATAAGGCCACGCCTCCTAATCCTTTTCAAATAGTGTCACTCCCTGATGGCTGAGCATTCAAATATGTGAGTCTGGGGGGCCGTTCTCATTCACACCACCACAGCTGGCATGTGTGCAAGTGAACATCTGCTTTTCATTCCGCCCAGGCCCCATCTTACTGGATGTAGGTCTCCCCTCACTTCGCTGACCCACATGCCAGTCATCTCTGGAAATACTCTCACAAACAAATCAAAACACATCTAGGCACCTTTCAGGCCAGTGAGTGATTCGTCATTTACAGGCCGAATCCAAGTCTAACATACAGGGCAGGAAGAGAATCCCAGATGAATGAAAGGGAAGATCATTTTAATTTCCCAGAAGGCAATGGTATAAATCTAAACTTCAAATGTCAGAGATACCCTACAGATTAAGAGGAAAATAAGGCCAAACCCAAGCACATCACTGTAACACTGAGATGAGGAGATTCTGGGCTGACAAGATGGCACAGTGGGAAGAGTGAGGGGCCACTGCCGCTAAGCCTGATGCCACAAGTTCAAGCCCATGGGCACCCATGCCCATGCACATACACACTCTGGTAGTTTGAATTAAAATGACCCCCAAGCTCGTAGATTTGAACGCTTGGTCACCGGGGAGCAGCACCGTTTGAAAGGATGAGGAGGCGTGGCCTTGTTGAAGGAAGTGTGTCACTGGGGGTGGGCCTTGAGGTTTTAAAAGCCCACGCCAAGACCAGAGTCTCTCTCCTGGCCAGTGGATCAGGGGGTTGCCCTCAGCTCCTTCTCCAGCACCATGTCTGCCTGTGTGCTGCCATGCTCCCTGCCATGGTGACAATGGACTGAACCTCCGGAACTGTAAGCCAGCCCCCAATGAAATGCTTTCATTTTGTAAGGGTTGCCTAAGTCATGGTGTCTCTTCACAGCAACAGAACACTGACAGATATACAGATGACACACTGACAACACAGATACACACATACCAAATAAGTAAATAAATCTTTTTAAAAGAAGTACAATTTGGGGCTGGAGAGATGGCTCAGTGGTTAAGAGCACTGGCTGTTCTTCCAAAGGTCCGGAGTTCAATTCCCAGCAACCACATGGTGGCTCACAACCATCTGTAATGAGATTTGGTGCCCTCTTCTGGCCTATTGGCAAAACATGCAGACAGAACATTATATACATAATAAATAAATAAATCTTTAAAAAAATTATATATATAAAAAAAAGTACAATTTGGCTGGGCGGTGGTGGCGCACGCCTTTAATCCCAGCACTTGGGAGGCAGAGGCAGGAGGATCTCTGTGAGTTCGAGGCCAGCCTGGTCTCCAAAGCGAGTTTCAGGAAAGGCACAAAGCTACACAGAGAAACCCTGTCTCAAAAAACAAACGAAAAGAAAGAAGTACAGTTTATTTATATTTTACTGGTACCCCGCCCTATTAAACTAATTACTTCAGGCAGATTTTCTGTAGATTCCTCTTTTCTACATAGATGATAGTTGTCTGAATAAACCAGCATAGTTTTACTCTCCTTATCCACTTTTATTTTAGTTTTTCAAGACAGAGTTTGTCTGTACAGCCCTGGCTGTCCTGGATCTCGCTCTGTAGACCAGGCTGGCCTCGAAATCAAGAGACCCACCTTCCTCTGCCTCCCAAGTGCTGGGATTAAAGGTATGCACCACCATCACCCGGCTAAGATTTGTTTTCATTTGATGTGTATGGCTGGTTGTTTTTTTTTCTGTGTGTATATCTGTATACCATATGCATGCAGTGCCCACAGAGCCCCAAAGAGAGCATCAGATCTCCCAGAACTGGAGTTACAGATGGCTGTGAGTCACCACGTGGGTGGCTGATACTCCAACCTGGGTCCTCTGGAGCCAGTGCCCTTAACTGCTGAGCCATCTCTCCAGCCCCCAACATTTATTTTTTCATTTTTCTCTTTTTCATGTGTATGTGTGGGTGTTTGCATTCATGCATGTATGCATGTTGGCATGTGTATGGGCACACCCGTACGAAAGTGTGTGTGTGCACATGTACAAGTGCACATGGAGGCTTGAGGTTGATATCAGGAATCCTTGATTGTTCTGCCTTAGTCGCTGAGGCAGGGTCCCTCAATCAAACCCAGAGCTTTTTCATTGAGGCAGGGTCCCTCAATCAAACCCAGAGCCTGTTGATAGAGACAGTCTCACCAGCCAGCTTGCTCTGGCCATCCCATGACAGGTTTAGGGAGAGCACTGAGCGGAAGCAGCAGCCAGGGCAGTGGCAGGGGACAGCCCGGCCCAACGCCTCCTACGCCTGCTTTTAGTGCAACAGTTATGACTTCCAGCACCAGACCGAACAGAAGCAGAGGCAGCAGACACATCTTGCCTTGTTCTGACCTTAGAGCAGAAGCAATCTTTCATCATTAAGTGTAATGTTTTTTATTGGTGCCTCTTATTGCTTTGAGGACATTCCCTTGAATCCTTACCATGCAAAGATTTTTATTGGTTTTTTTTTTTTTTTTTTTTTTTTTTTTTTTTTTTTTTT